TCAGCAGTGCCCTCATTGTGCTTCTAATAAGGAGGTCTTCCAAATTCTAGCTGGAAGGACTTCCATTTATAACAAGATAGTGAGAATGACATAATTCCTTATTATTTTGTTTCATTTAAAGGGCGAGAGAGGAGAGAAGCACGAGGCACTGTCGGAATAATTCATGTGTTAACGAATTATCGTCTGACATGTTTTTGTTGGAGTGCCATTGAAGAGACATAGCGTTTTTACGAGGAAAAAAAAAAAAAAAAAAAAAAAAAAAAAAAAAAAAAAAACACGAAACATCCGTTATCCTATAGTCCGATCTACTATCACTTACACCCCGAGTTCAAATTCTAGCTGGAAGAAGCTCCATTGAGCAATTTCCAGCTCAAAGAAGAATGAGATAATTTCTCATAATCAATACGGATATATAACTGATGATTCTAAAATTTTATTATCATTAAGACTGGAAAAAATACACGATTTAATTCATTTTCATACATTTTAAAAGAAGTTAAATTTTTCAGAGAGTTACTATAAAATATTTATTAGAATGTCAAATTTAAGCATTTCAATTATTTATAATAAAGGATAAATTTTATATTTATATAATAAAGAAAAATCGTTGATAATATCATTCTGATTTTAGTGGAGATATTTTAAGAAGTAAATAAGTGAAAGCTAAAGGAAGAAAAACTATTTCAAGTTATATGTTTATCTTAAAAGTAACGAGAGAAAAACTATGTTAAAAGAAAAGGCGCGCATATCGAAATTGTTTCCTGTACTGCTGAGAAATTGTTATATGGCATACATACTATAATGTTCATGAATAATTGATTGCTACTACATTAATACAGGCATAGCATATTTCTAGGGACTGATTTGCTGCAATTTCCAATTTGATTTTTACATACTTTTATATTTAGGACACTAATTACATCACACTGAAGATTACTCAATGCAATAATTCCATCGCAGTTTTATAGAAAATTATAAAATTTTCAGTTTCAATAAACAATTATATAATATTTCGATGACTCAGCAGGTGGTAAACATAATTATTATCTTTCAAGTTTTTTTTCGAAAAAAACACCTCGGCAGATATAGAATCAGCCGCAGACTGTACTAACTTTAACAAGCGCAGTATCTGAGTGTTCACATTTCTGTTTATAACTGCAATAAGAACAAGTATAAGTTTGAAAATTTTACCGATGGCTATGTGGATAAAAGAGATGATCATAAGTATTTTGACCTGGTTTTGGTTTCTGGTCAATACGTTGGCTGTAAGGAAGATTTCGTGATTTTTTCCATGTGAACTAGTTTTCTTTATAAATTCCTCCAAGTCTTTTGTTAAGTACATACAAAGTTGCTACATTAAACATTAGTAAGTGTTTACATAGGTAAACATTTTAAAAGCGACTAGCGTAAAGAAAGATTATTTAAATTATGTTTTGAAAATGCAAATTCAGAACACTGAAAACCAAACAGTAAACATTATAAGACTAATTTAATAATCTTTGGTTTGGTTTACTTGAAATCTTTACTTAAAAAAACGTTGAAATTTACAATGTTTACAACAAACTATTATTCTGCCATATTCAGCGATTGCATTAATCAAAATTTTAAATTATTTAACGTAAAATGTAATTATCCGAAAATTATATAAAATGAGAATTTTTTCCCACTATATCTGTAGCTTACAATGGCTAGAAAAAAAGATAGCTCTAGATAATGAGTATTTCTACAATGAAAAAACTCTATTGACTAGAAATAGTCTTTGGAGACATTAGTGTCAGTTAGCCTGCGGAGGTCAGGTTCCCTTCCAAGTCGTTTTCTTTTGCCAGGAGGCAGGGGTAGAAAGGATTCTTCTCGATTATAATTACTTTTAGCAAAGACATTTACAATTATCTATTCAATCCTTGCTAATCAGACGAATTTGGGAAGAAAGGGAAAGTTGTAGATAAATTTTGCTTCTTCCAGTGCCAGTTACAAATCGTACAGTTTTTCAATAACATTTGAACTATATCATTAACGTTGCATATTACTAAAATGTACTTGTTCTTTAAAGTCCTTCATCTGTTCTAAAAATAATACCACAGAAGTTTCAGAAATGAAGTACAATTTAAAGCTACTTAACATTTGTATGCATATAAAAAAGTAAAACTGTTTAAAATGCATATAGTTTAACGCTTCCTGTTTTATTTGGAATAATATTTAAAAAATAAAACTCGTGTTGGTTACGACCCAAGCAATACTTAACGGGATAAAGAGCCGTACTTTGATAATGCATACAGTTTTCGTCGTTTTAATAAAATCCATTATGATACTAATGCTGGTAATTATAAGCTGCATTTACGGATACAGAAGTATGATTAATACACTAATATCACAGAATATATGCTTTTTATGCTCTGACAAGTTTTGTCAAGATACCAATTTTTAGTTCATATACAAGTCGTAAATTCCCTAGCCAGATTCCTTTTTTATATAAATAGATGCATAGAGGACAAAATGGAACAGTTAATTATATTTTTTATTCTTTTACAAAATTTAATTCTTTTAGATATAATTTTTAACGGTAAATGATATTCTGCTAAGTTATAATACAAAAAATTATTACTAATAATAATTTATATCCTAATATTTATAATTTATAATTTAATAATATTTCATATTTATCACTCAAAACAGAATTGGAAAACTTATTCAAATCATATTTAATCAAAACATTTTACGAAGTTTTGGGAAAAAGGAATTTTGGGGTTTGTTTGATTTTTTAACTTTGAATTCAGTCATAAAAACATTTTACCGTTTTGTTTCATCATTCATATAACATTAGCAAAATAATTTACTAAATAATTCTTAGATGTTATAGTATTCTTGTTTATCTTTTGTTATATGACTAAAAATAAATAAAAAGCGCGGCTGGTATTCAATATTTATTTTTATTTAATTACAAATACTTGGCTATTGGTACTTAAGACATAGTCTTTCCATATTATCACTTTTCTATTCGGCCTTGAAATTATGTTAACGACCTAATAGAATTCGGAAAATCCTATGATTGCATAAAACTGCGGAGGTGCTAATAATGACAAATTTTAAATGAAAATAGAAATTTATTTAAATTCTATTTGTGCATGTCTGCTTTATGCATTTAATCTATCAAATGCAGAAAAAGTGAGAAAAATCCATCCAACACAGAGAAATAATTCTTCTAGTCTGTGCTAAGATTGTATCAAATTCATTTAAACTTCCGTTTAAAATTCGAAATGCGATCTCTCAAATCAACGAAGGAGTACATTTTTGGCTTTAAATTCCACATTAGTAGCAACTGTATAATAGCTAAACGTACCCAAAATATTTGTAGAAAACCGCCAAAATTCTAGAAATTGCTATAAAATCCCGAAAAATATTAGGCAGATTATTGATTGCCATTTCCATGCTGAAAAGATCAAGCGTTTACGAGGATGAGCTCGACTGTTAACGAACAACTTGTGGAAAAAATTCAACGCTAAAATATAAATACGTATGCCAAATTTTCCAAAAATTCCTGATAAATATTGTACTCTCATCGTAAATATATATGGACTTATAATGTGATGAAAACAGTCGGTAAAAGAATGAATTAAAATTTAATTTCCAAAAATAAATTGGCCTACTAAAACTAAATAAAATAGATTAGTAAATAGTAAAAAATTGTGTAACAAAATAAATAATGATCTTTCTTAAAATACTGTCCAATAAAACATGTCGAATAATTGAAAATTTACAAGTTTGGAAGCTAAAATTCTAAAAAGATTTCGGAAAATTCGGCCGTCACATGTTAAAAGAAACAAGTCTACAGGCTACTAGTACAAAGAAAGAGGAGGGAGACGAAACGAAACGCAAGCCATTCAATACCGGGGAGGCAATTTTATGGCTTATCCATCACACTAAGGGGAAGCAAACATACTGCCTTAGGCTGGGCCATCTTAGAGAGATTTCAGAAAACGAAAGCGATTTTTTGGAGGGGTTTGTTGTCTGACAACGCGGCCGTTTTCAAAGCATTTCGTTCCGAGAGGCGTGCTCGTTGATGGGTTAAGTGATATATATAGCACATTAAAAATGTACATAAAGAACACACTAATATTACTGTTAGAAATTATGTATTTAGTCAAGATATTTTTAGTAGAATTATAACTAAAACTGTTGTATTCCCCCACGCAATGTAACACAAGACAAATATTATGCTATGCTGAAAAAGTAAAAATACATGAGCACGTGCATTTAACATTCAATAAATGTTCTCAGTAAATAAATCTCAGTAATTTGTATCGAAAATGAATACATGTAATTGACTACTGTGTAACTGAAATTACATCCTCTTACCGCTTACCAGAAATCTTGAGAAGCAGAAATTACTAGAAATTTTTCACGACCAATAAAAAGCCAGGGAGAGAACATCTCAGCTCAGTTGTTTAGTTAGCTGCTGTTGTTATTGTTGCCAGTGCAGCGAGAGATCAGATTAGCTTTCTCTTTGCATTGCATTCTATTTTAATGTTTTTATTACTTATTATATTCTGTGATATTGTGAACACTTGTATGAATACCTCTGAGGGAAATTCCAGCATTCTATTATATTTCTTTTGATAAGAATAAATGTTATTAATCTATTATTGGACTTGCGGATTCAATCTGTTGCAAACCCAAACACACGCAACATTATTATACTTTCTTGTCATAGGCGTTATCAATTCGATAATATTATTTTTACTTACACACACACACACCACCAAAAAAAAAAAAAAAAAAAAAACCCTCCCTATTTGTACATTGTTACCATAAACCAGAAGATTCTAAATGATATGCTGGGGGGGGGGGGAAGAGGAAAATTGTGCAAAGGGAAGAAATATGCAATTAAATACAGTATTCAAATTTTTTTCCCTCTTTGTGATGAAGCTAATAGATAACTCCATTAATAACAAAAGTTTTCAGTAAACATTTTAATGTAAAAGATATGAGATATATATATTTACCAGTTGATATAATATTATTCACCAACTCCTGAAATTCCATTGGAACATCAGCCTGTTTCCACTGTTCATTCTCTAAAATAAGGCTGGGAGAAAAAAAGTTTTTTTTTTTTTTCCTTATCAGAATTTAATTTTAAACTTATTAAAAATTAAATTTCAAACACCATTTCATAAACAACTTAACAGTAATAATATTTTATGCATAAAAATAAACATATGCTGAGGTAAATGTACCCAATTCTGATTTTGCATCATAGATATCTCTCCCCCCCCCAAAGAAAAAAACTCCACTGCAAAAGAAAAGCATGTTATAAAATTGTAATGTACAGAAAAATACAAAAGACTGATTCTCAATATGAAAACCCTGTGGGGTGAATATATATATATATATATAAATAAAATTAAAATTAAAAAAAATAAAAAATTGTTTTCATACAAATCTTAATTCAGTTTCTAATCATGTGAATACATATTTTAATAAATTATAAAAAATTATGTACAAATCGAAAATAAATTACTATTTACAAAGAAAATAAGATGTCACTTATTTAAGAATACAAAAGCTGTTAAAAACTGTTACTCATCCTAAACTCAAAATTTCGAGAAATGAAACCTTTCTCTTAATAAACAACCTAAACCAAAACCTTTTTTTGGTGGGTTTCCATGCTGGTTAATTGCAGACTTTAGCTCTTTCACAGCCAAGATGCTATTCATTCATTGATGTGTTGCTTAATCTCTGCTACCTATTATCAATGGTTCTAAAAATATAATCTGATTAAAATTGTGGGATATATAGCACATCCACAATGATGATGTGCAACGAAATAGAATGTGTCCTAATAATTAGTTATCAAGGAATAAAATTATGTATGGAATTTAAGGCTACGTCTGTCTTAGTGTCATCTTTCTAACTACCCAATAATGCCTCTCCCAGTTATAATGCAGAGAACCATCGCCAATCCATTATTTTGACATATTACGGAATATTCTTCTAAAATGCAATAAAAACTCTTAATTAGAAGCTGATTATCTGTTTATTTACAAAAATAATAATTATTTTACCCAAGTTTTGTTTTCCTCTCTTCATGAAACCTTGTAACAAAACGGGTTGCCTGAAATTAAAAAGAAAAAAAATAATAATATTAATGGATGATTGTATTATGCAAAGGAGGCAAAAAAAAACATATTAATGCTTGACCACCAATAACAATATATAATTCCAGTTAACCGTATAAAATATGAAAAAACAGAAAAGTTCTTGCACAAGAGTTGCCACTCAAACAGGAGAATTAAATTCCCTGACTTTTCCAGGTGTGTTTTAAGAAAATTCCAGTCTATCTGCGTAATGCAGGTTAGCTTAATGAAAGAAAAAGCTTCTATTTAATTATATTTCAAAATAAATTCAGGTATTTTATATTCATTTAGCAGCCTATATTAGCATTATATAAGAAAAAAATATGTGCATAAAATTTCGTGATGGTATGTCATCATACTGCTAGAATTAGTTTCAGGAGTACGCAAGAGAAAATTGCCTGAAATTTGAAAGTATTATTAACTAATAATAAATTAATTTAGAAGGAAGAAGCCACATTAAATTATATAATACTGATAAATAGAAATTATCATTGAAAATTTAAATAACTTTAGTCCTTTTTCAAGCTAACTTAATTTGGCACATTAGCACTTCTATTCAGAAGATCTGATTTATTTTTCCTAACGAAAGTATCATTTATCTTAAATATCGATTTAAATGATCAGAAAATTAATTATGTCAATAATAAATATATACTGACTAAATATTACTACATATTAAAGAAGACTAGAAAATGAAACAGTAAAATAAAAATTAAATTAATAATTATAAAAGCATCTCTGAAGAAGTGGAGACTTTGATATATCAAGAAGAGTATGTATGATGTCAATTACCACATGCATACAAATATTATATAAAATCCCTGATACAAATATAGAATGCACAGAAAATTACACTCTGAGAATCAGTGAAGCTTTTGGACATGAATTCTAGTGTGACAATTTTTTTGGAAATTTGGAAGTATTCAGGAAATGACTTTTCTACTTATACACTGGCTTCCAAAAGTTAAAACATTCAATCGTAAAAACTGACAAAAATAGAAAAGTAAAGCTTTGATTAACACCAAATTCTGTATGAAGATAACACATGTATTTATACACAAAAGAAAACAAGCATTACATACGAAGATGAAAACAATATTTATTTTTTGCTAATTATGTGATGATGTCACATTTGGGTCATTAGCAAATTGAATTTTAAAGCTACTAACAAATGAATTAAACAAATAATGAATTATATTAATAAGGTATGTGATCACCCCAGACCTTCCCAAAAATTTTACAAATTGCCCATCCTTTTAATGATCAATTATTGAAGATGTTAGCAATAGCCATTACACCATTAGGGCAGTTTCCAACTGTCTGAGACAGGATTGAGGAAGCAAAGATGCACAGCAACATGCGTGAGGGCATTCTAAAGATTTTCAATGGGATTAAGATTGGCTGAAAAACGCGGCTGCTCCATATGAGAAATCTTCTCATTTTCCAGGTACTCATTAACAATGTTCGTGCAGTGGGAATGAGCATTATCTATCATTCATTACGAGAAAATCACAACCAACTGCTACAATGTTAAGTCTCACAATAGAGGTTAGGACTTCATCTCAATAATGCACCATCTTTAAAAATTAGATGTGATAAGCTAGTCAAATTCTAATTCATACCATGATGCTGTCATCTCTGAATGTGTAATGTTCATTTGATGTTCTAAATCTGATTCTGTATGCCTCATTCTCTCCAGATCTTTCCATGATTTATCATTTGATTCCATGGCCGTTCTAAGACATGCCCATGAACAGGACTTGCACTAATCTGGGACAGTCTAATTGAGATATTGACAATAACAATTTAATCTTTCCTCTCTGGATTGGGTGATTAGTAGAACACAAATACTTGTTACTCGGGCATACAGTCCCTTCAAGTGAAGCCTCTGTTGCACAGTACTGACAGATACCGTCTTCCCAGGTAATGGTGTTACCACAAATGTAACATTTATGAAAGTCATTTGTCAATATAAGATCAGAAGAGGTAGTAACCCTTGGCCAACTGAACACAAGTCTTTGAATAACTGTTTGAAATTGTTCCCACATTTGAGAAATTACTAAATGATCGACAACAAAGAAAAAAGTGACATCTTTGATTGACTATGCTGCTTCAATGCTTCCAACAGCATGTCAATGCTCACTATCTGGCATTCTTCTCCTTTCAGCCACAGAAACAAGGATATCATCAAAATTTATAATATGAAAAGTAAAACGTTTTGTACAAGTATGAAAGTAAACGTGTTGTACGAGTATAAAACCCTCCAGAATGTTGGCATCTTTAATCACAACCTTATTAGGATATGTTTGGACAGTCAATCATGACTGGCAGTAACATATATTTGCATATTGCCATCTATATCTGCAGCGATTCTCCAGCCACTCAAAAATTCAACTGGGCTTTTAAAAACTGCTAATTTGCATTACATACTTTAACTTTTGGAAAATAGTGAATATTTTGAATTATTTAGGAATAACTCATATATATCTAGATAATATAATCAATATTTCTTTAGTAAATAAATTATTATAAATATAATATATATAAGATAAATTTTAGTATGCCTGCTAAGTTACCAAAAACTGTGGCTCCATGAAAACTTCAACATAAGCAAATTTAGTTGCTATGAAATGTGTGAAAAAAGAGAAATATACAACATTTGAATATTTACAAGTAAAATTAATAAAAATAGTAAGCTGTATGCTAAACGAATTAAGTAGATTTAAAACACAGTAAAATACTAATCAATTGATTGAGGTAAAAATAAAAAATAAAAATATAAAAATTAAGAAGTGGTAAATGGTTAATTAGCCCAATTCAAAGTTTATTTTGGCTCGTCGGGAATTTTTTTTAAACGAATTTCGAACTAAGCTAACTCCATCACACGTTTCGCCGAAACAGACAATTGAAAGTGTGCGTGACAAATTTTTCAACGAATTAAATAAACTGTGTCAAAAACTTTAGTCTCAATTCTCTCTTCCAATTTCCCGACGTGTCCGCTTATTTTAACACATTAAGGTGTAAAAAAGATAAAAAATAAATAATGGAAAGGCAATTCCGATGTACAGAAAAAATAAATAGCGATATGCTATTAGTCAAAATATACAAGATCTTATGGGTGGACCTGCGAGCTTAAAGAATTAATACTTTGTAAAAGTACCGTAAATAATATTTAAATCAAAGCGGAAAAGATAATAAAAAAGACGAACTGAAGCATGGGTCTTGCCAAGATCTAGAAAAAATCTTTTAGAGAAAAAAATTATTAAAAACAGATCTGGATCAGAGCCGTCTTCCTTGGTAACGAGGAAATTCGAAAAGGGGGGGGGCAAACCCCCGAGCGTTTCCATTGCCCTCCAACTGGCCGGATGACATAGAAAGGGGGACAAACAACGTCACTGGGTAATAGCCAACATAAAGTGACTGACCGCTGGCAGCAAATCTGACTCATTGCAAAAGGGGGTGAAATGTGTTGAAAAATGTGGAAAAAGTTCATAATGGCATCTTGTCATAGTAGTTTGAAGAAAAATAGATTGGGTAAAAGAGAAAATGGCTAATTCAATAAAATATTACCTAAAATGGCCTCTAGAGTAAGCAGTCGAATATCAGATTGCCACAGAGTATCCCCCCAGTGACACAGTCACGAAACAAAAGGGGGTTGGCTGTAAATTTCCAATTTAAGATATGCACATTCGAATAACAGTTATACTTTAAAATTGTAAGTACAAAAAAAAAAAATACAAATATATGAATAGTAATAATACATTTACAATTATGATTGGAATATATACCATACAATGCATAACTTAGTTAAACAAAAATAATGAAAATTGGTAAGCATTTTATGTAACTCTCAATACGTATGCAAAAAAAAAAAAAAAAAAAAAAAAAAAATTACTCAAGTATCTATACACTGTAACATTTGCAGCAAACCACAAGAGAAAACTTTAATCATATTACAATAATTAGTTTTTAAGAAAATGAACACGACATCCACTTCGGGTAACTACTTGTTTTGGAACAATTTTTGAGTCTTCGCAGACTTCTTGTGGAAACTGAGGAATTACAGGTGAATTTATACATTCTGACAACATATATGCTGGTTTCAAATGATCGATTGTAACTGTAATCTTTTTTTTATTTACCTCCATAATAAAATTTTTATCCATTCGTTTTAACCATGGTATAAGGACCAGTGTAAGGTGGAGTTAGAGGTGGTTTAACAGAATCGATATGCAGAAATACATGAGAACAGGTTTGAAGTGCTGGATGTACATAAATTGGTGATTGAATATGCCTAGAGGTTGGAATAGGTCTAACTAAATGCATGACTGATCGAAGTTGTGACACATAAGATTCAGTAGGCAATACAATTTTGTAGCATTCAGCATATCTGATGGTAATCTAAGAGTAGTACTGTAGACAAGTTCAGCGCAAGTAGCATTTATATCTTTCTAAATGGCAGATCTAATACCCAACAGAACAATAGGCAGGATTTCAGTCCATTTTGGATTGTTATGAGCCATTATTGAAATTTACGTTGCCTATGAAATATCTCAATCAGTTCACTGGACTGAGGATGATAAGCAGTAGTTCTAATGCGATGTATACCCAAAATTTTCATTAAATCCTTAAATAAGTGAGATTCAAAATTTCGTCCTTGAACAGTTGTTATTGATATTGGGCGGAGAAATCTTGCTATCCAGTTATGCACTAACACTTTACAAGTCGTCTGCGCTGACATGTCGACAGTAGGTATGACTTCTGGCCCTCTGGTAAACCTGTCAATACTTGTCATGCAATAACGGTTACCTTCAGACGGTGGAAGAGGACCTATGAAATCAATATCGATATGTGCAAATCTTGCATCAGGCAAGGAGAAGGTACCCAACGGTGATTTCGTATGCCTATGAATTTTAGAACGTTGGCACTGTAGACATGCTTGAACTGCACTTTTAATAAATTTCTTCATATTAGGCCG